TCCAAGCGACTCCTCCTCCAATTCCCAACCCCTAAGAGTACTGCTCCACCAGAGTACTGTACAGAGACCAAAAAGGTATAGCTATATAGCCACCTGACAGGGGTGGGTTAAGAAGTAAGAGGTTAAAGGGAGAGGACAGATTCCTTGGATCCTCCGATCCTCCGATCCTCCGTATCTTTCTTCTCTTATCCGCCTCCTATATCTTATACAAGATAGCTGTTCTGCTCCTTTAAGCTGTTCGCCACAACCGTCGTAAGGATAAGCCCAGAAAGAGGGTGGCTCGATACCAATTCAGGTACTCAGATCTTCTTCTACCCCTTTCCCCAGCAGTAGTTTTAAATGGTTCTATTCCTTACAAATGCTTTTCAACATTTTCCAACTATTCATACTCAATCCTAATATATAATTTATATCTATCTATTAGATAAATTTAAGAATTTCTCAGAGCAAATAATGATAATAATAATAATAATAATAATAATAATAATAATAATAATAATTAATTTTTCCGTGTGATAAATCGTTGTGTTTTAATTTTTTAATTTTTTTATCTTTGCATGCATATACAGCGATGAGACAATAACGATGAAAAGGTAGTAAGCGGTTCTATAAAAGGTGAATGTAAGTCAGAAAAGAGTAGGACAAAAAGTGTGGTTACAAAAGAAAAAATGGAGGCGCAAGAAGACGCAAGAAAGCACAAGAAGGCTGGTAAAGAGCTAAAGAGGAAAAGAGACGAAGGAACCAGGCGGAAGAATAAAATAAGAATAAGAGGAGCCTGAAGATGCTGGATGGTGATTAATCTTGCGGTCTTTCACGTCGCGATGAGGCGCACGGAGGCGCGTTATTGATGGTGACTTCTTTGAAATGCTCCTACTCGCCTAGCTCAGCAGACACTTTGCACGGTCTTCCTCAACTCCCCAACTGCTCCTCAACTGTTCAACTGTTCAACTGTTCAACTGCTCAACAGCTCAACAGCTCAACTGGGTTGTCGCTAGTCGTCTTTATCGCCATTTCTGGCTCAATTTTCGTCTCATCCCCAGCTTCCTTTCTTCCTCTTATTTCTCTTATTTCTTTAACCTCTTTGTCATGAATTCCACGCAGAGACATTCATAATCCCTTTGGCACTCTGATTTCCGCAGTTATAGAATACCTAACCGATATTCATATTATATATTGTCATCGTAAATATATAAATATATATTTAACAATGTGGTGTAGATGATGATGGTGGTTAAGTAAAAGCCAGATGTATTTTTCTATCGACTTGCTCGTTAGGCTCGTCAACAACGCGTCATTTCTCTTCATCCACAGCTGTATAAGCCAAGAAAAACTACTATAAAGTATAAAAGAGAAGAAAAGCGATTTTGTTGCAAGGGATGAAGAAGATAGGAGATAGGACAGACACCAGATGAGAAAAGAGAAAAGAGGAAAGAGGAGATTGTGTTAGGTAAAAGTTACGCGCTTTTTCTACAAAGATACCATTAATATCCGTTGTTGCGACGCCTCCTTGCAATTTGTCAACATCTGATATTTAATTTTGCGACCCCTTTTGTGAGCCAAGCCATTCGCCCTCGCCCACTGCTCACTGCTCACTGTTCACTGCTCACAAGTCTATAAACTCAACTTCCTGAGATTGGAGAGCGACATCAACCTAACAGACTCTAAAGCTCTGCTAGCTTGATAATGATCATCCTCATCAGATAACTTAATAGTTTCATTAATCGATCGATTTTATCACACTTGTCTAGCTTTAATCAACTTTTGACCTTAATTAACAGATTTATATATTATATATTATATATTATATATTATATATTACAAGTATCAATCAAGGTAATTATTGGTAATTGAATTGGTTATTTTGATTTAACCAAAAATAGTTTGTAATTTTAATGAATTTAATGAATAAATTTGATATGATTGCCATGGATATATTAAGTTTAGATGTGTTGGATGATTGGCTGATTGTCTGGGGCATTTATTTAATCGATTAATTAACCAAATGGTCTAGTTAATAAGAGCATCATTGGACAAGACAGTACGTGATAAGAATGAGGGGATGGATAGATAGATATATTTGTATATAAGAGAGAAGAGATGGTGTATGTAAGAGAAATAAGGAGATAGAGGCCACAGGAGAGCCGTTGTTAATCATCGAGATGTTGCCAGAGATGGGAGATGCTGGCGTTACGTGTGGCATATAGGTAAGTACGAACCACTGGGATAACCACTAGCCGCTATAGCCACTATAGCCACTACAGCCAAGCCAGCCAGCAACTCCGTGACTACAATATACGTGGTGAAGAGTAGGATCAGGAGCTGGAGTAGAAGATGGAGATGGAAGGTTATAGTGCGTTAGATGGTCAGTAATACGAGGGAAACGGAAGTGACCGCACTGCCGAGAAGAGAACCCACTATCCACTATCCAGAGTATCACAGTATACATTGTAAGGGTGAGGGTTAGATCCCGTGGGGTCTTTCACAATGAATACTCTCACCTATGCCTGTCATCCGTCTTACCCAGACGTACACGTCATACCATATAACACCCATAACATAATGTAAATAAATATATCTCTATATAAATATTTTTTATTTTTATTTTATAATTTCTTTGATAAATTATCTTTTATTAATTTAAAATAAATTTTTATTTAAATGTATAGTCGGCTATTTATTTTATCGGGAGTGTTTTCTTACCCCTGAGGGAACGCTCGTAAGCTAAACACTTGTCGCCAAAGATTCACGACTCCTTTCTAGAGGACATTAATTTTATTGCCAGTTTGCCTCTGAATAATTAAATACATTTATTTTAATTAATATTCGCTAATTTATAATTTTTTTTAATTAAAAAAAATTATTTCTCACGGATAAAGTTTAAACTTTTGACTAAATTTTATTTTTTATTCTTAAAAAAACTTTGAATACTAGAGAAAAAAAGAAACGAGGACATTAATAACGATTATAACCACAAGTTTATTGAACAATAATCTGTTGGATAAAAAACAAGATTGGTGACGTAGCCGATATGAGCTTAAAAACATATATATTTAATCCGGGAGCAGCTTCGGAAGCAGAATATAACCAGCAGCAGCAGCAGCAGCAGCAGCAGCAGCAGCAGCAGCAGCAGCAGCAGGCATCACAGAGTTACAAAGTCACCGAGTCACCGAGACTCAATCTTATTTATGGGTACATTAATCCTTAAATAGTATCTAATGTCACATCACGGCTTATAGAATAAATAATAACAATAACTATAAATAATAGGGGAAGTGTAGGTATTATATCTGCGCAATACCTTTTTTTTTTTTTTTCTTTTCTTTTTTCTTTTTTATTAAACACATTATCTCGGCGTCAGTGCATACAAACATTTCCATTGTCATATAGGTTATTCATACTTGTGTTTTCGTGAACGGTTGACCTGGCCAACCGTATCCACGTACAAACGACGGTGTCGAGTTACCGGATGGTACACCGCGGGGCGTCTTGACTTATATATCCACTATCTTCTGATACATTCATATATAATATAATAAATAGATTTAATTCATACACGCGAGAATTAGATTTACAATCATCTCTCTATGTGTTAATCTAATTTATTAAATAATGTGTTTTATTGAAATATTAAAAACAATGGGTATTATTTAAATTTAAATAAAATAAAATACTAATGAAACAAACCACAGAATAATCTGGTTATTATCTGAAGGTAAGTACATACTCTGTGGTGTCACTAGCAAGAGACATATATTTAACAACAAACGTGCGAACGAACCACCCAGCCGGATCTAATGAATAGCCCAGCTTCCCCTATTTTATCCGTGTACTCTTCCCGTGAAAAATTATAGTGTTGTGCCTTAAGCCCCAGCAACAAACTAGTCACACTCATATCCACGTAAAACATTTTATTTTAGCTATACATCAATACAAAGTAGTATAAAGAATAATTATAATAATAAAGATTTGTATAGAGTTGCAATAAAAGCTAAAAGAGCGCACCACCAGCGTGTAATGGCGTCCCGTCGAGCTACCAGCTGTTCTCGCACAATCTTCATCCACCCAACAACAATATTGTCATCCTATACAGCACTTAGATACCGTTATTAACGAATAATACGCCATTCGACAGGTAAATTTGTGCCTTACAATCCTTATAAAGATGTCAAATATTCATAAAAAAAAAAAAAAACGTATAGTATTAATTATTTCTTTTTTTACTATTATTGTTATTATTATTATTATTATTATTATTATTACTATATTGGCTTGTGCCTTTTTTTGACTCGACAACTTTTTTCGACACGTACGTTGTATATCAAAATTATCGGGAATGAATTGGCAAAATAAATCTAAAAGTATACAGAGTCTTACAAACCCGAGTAGTCAGTCAGTCAGTCAGTAATTTAATTAAATTAAAAATGATTAAGAGCAAAAGACAAAAGAATAGTTTAGCGGTTAAATAATGTATTTGAATACTGTGTAATCAAATAAAGGGGAGCGATGTTAGCAAATGAAGCGAGTCAGCTAGAAATCCGGAATCCGCCCGTTTCTTGTCGTAGACACACCCCTGCCGTAACGGACTCAAACACTGTTAGATACGTATACTTGCTTTTTGTACCACCACCTTCACATACTAACTCTAAAACTCACTTCATCCTTTTCATCCCTTTTATTTTAGTCATTTATTTTTTTCATCCCCTACTGAACAGCAGACCTTCTGTTTCAATTCAATTCATATATAATATATATCGATGCCTATTCTTTGAGGTTAGAGTTGTTTCTGAGAGGAATTCACAAGTAGACATACATATAACTATATAACCATATAACCATATAACCATATAACCATTCAACCATTCAACCATTCAGATTGTATAATATACACATTTTGTTAAACTCACTTTTTCGACAACAAAATTTACCACTTTCAAATTCGTCAACATTGTTGTTATATACAAGACTTTATTGTCATTAAAGGAATATTACAATATTTTCAATTAGAACAAAGGGCATTTCTTGGTGGGATTCATTTTAGATCCTAAAGGACAGCTGAATGCTTTTGAAAACTCTGGAATGTTTGAAAGTGATGTAATCACTAGTTTCTTTCGGGAATCTACCGGTATACCATAGAGATTGTCCCACCATTTTGGTGAGCAATACAAATTCCTGAAGGATAACCAGAAAGCTTGATCAGATGAATACAGTCCAGCTAAATCTGGTTCTTGTTTATCTTCAATGAATTCTCGATAAGCTGAGTAAGCAAGTTCAAGACCTCTTTGATGGCCAATTCGATCCTTCAAAATGCCCTGGTGAAAATTAAAAATAATAATTTTACATAAACTATTTTCAATAATAATTACTTAAATCTTACCTCATTTACATTTTCTCCAAAAATAGTGTACTGCTCGGTTAAACACTGCTCAGTTGTGTAAGCTCTTTGCCCGTAATTATTAATTGACATCATATCAATCAAATATTCAAATTTTAGACCAATAAGTACTCCAAAAACAGCGTAATTTGTGTAATTATAGCAATCAGAACTGATGAAAAATCCTTCAAGAAATCCCGATGGTATTTCTGCAGAAAAAGTGATCAATCATAAGATCAAGTTATATCACAAATCTGATTAATATTAATTATATAATTACCAATAATATTTTCAAGTGGATAACTGTATATAAGGTACAGTTTTTATCACTGTATCTAAGACTGTAGAAGCAAAAATATCTTCCCAATCATATGAATCCGAAGGTTTTCTTACTAAAGAATACTCTTTATTCTTTTTAAATCGAAAAATATTCAAATAATTAACGAGGAAATTATCTGGAGTTATTTCAAGTCCTTTAAAATATTTTTCCAAGTTATTGTCATCCATCATTTCATCTGGATTACCAAAAACTACTTTAACAGTTTTTATTTTTTTGATATGTTCGCTATTGGCCTTTGAGCTGTTCAAAGTATCGATAAATTTGTTTTTAATATTTGAAAAAATAATATTTTCATGATTTTTAACTTTTTGGTCTACAGGATAAGTACGTCCGTAAAAAGCTTTTATAACGTCTGATAACATATTTGTAATCATTTGTTGACAGTTTTGGAACCCACTGAGACTCTGATTTGTTAAAGCGTAGTAGGTTTGACCAAATTTATAAAGCGTTACAGAATTAACAATAGGGGCGGAATATTCGATTATTTTCCAAATAGCGTAATTTGCTTGGACTTTTTTCGAGGTTTCATTCATCAATTTTTCAAATTTGGTAATGAAATTTTTGTTTTGTAGGTAAATTAATTCTTTTGGAGAAACATAAGGATGGAGTTTCCATTCGAAAAGCCGAGTCCAGTTTATACTTGGCCATGTTCGGTTCATTTCTTCAAGTGAAATCATACTACTGGTTTTGTTAGCTGGCAGAGGACTGTTTTTCTTTGCATCCATGAGTTTTAATTCAAATTCTAAAACATCCACCAAATCTACCACTGCATCTTCTTTTGCATTGAAAAATTTAGCAATATTAACCATGTAGTTTTGATAAGCAGTCTTTGTAAGATTATGTTGAGACACTGAAGTGCTCTTCAATAAAAGTCCGATTGGTAAGCTCAACTATTTCAAAATGAAATCATCAATTTTATTAATCCAAAAAAAAAAAAACTATATGGTAATCTCTGAGCTTGAAACTTAACTTACCGTAGGTGCTGATCCTTTCTTTACGTCAAAACTTGTAAAAATGTTCACCATGTTGTATCCAATTTCATTAGCTTTATTGAGAAATTCAATCCAATCGAAATTAGTTTCATTCCATTTATCCCCTTAAACAACAGGCCATCCACCTAATTTTAAAATCACGCTTTTCAAATAATCCAATTTGTCTTCTTTGATGCCAACAACTAAAAAAATTCCATTGTATAATACATATTTGAAATATATTAGGTTCGATTATATCTAATATATTGTAATATAATATGAGTAATTACTTGAATAATTATTATTTTTATTTAAATTTTTACAAGAATCCTCGAAATATCGGATGAAATTGAGCGGCTTGAGAGAATTCGATGAATTTGAAGACATTATTAAGTTGTTTAATTTCAATAACATGTTTGACGCATGGGCCATATGATTTGTTGTTTTTGGGACATTAGGTATATTGTCGAAATTACCACATGCGTATTCGTAAAAATTGTCACATGGTTTGACTTTGATGTTCATATTTTTCAACAAATTCACATCTATAAATATTTTACAATAATTAACAAGTTACCTTAGTGGGTTATAAATAAATTCAAAAATACCTACTGTACTTTATGTTGTTTATAAAACAGTCCCGTGTTTTACAGCAATACGTTTCTATAAATTCAAATGACATTAATATATCAGATAATTTAAAAAAATAAATTATTCTATATACCTGAACAGTCAGTTTGATTGGACACATTTTTAGCTGCTGCAAAAATGAAAAAGAATACTACAAACCAAATTGATCTAAAAATCTCCTTAAAATAATTATTAATCATTTTAACAATGATATAGCACTTGATAAATTTTGAGACTACTTCGATACACTATAAAAAAAAAAAAAAAAAAAAAAAAAAAAACAATCGGTATACTGATTAAGTGAGACACTAATGACATTATTTTTTCTTTATTCGTTAAAAGTAAATTTTTATCAATACAGATAACAGTTTCAAGTATGACGAAAAATGAATTAAAGTATATCTATTAGAGACATAAATAGTTGAAAAGCACTTAATTTATAGCTTACAGCTAAATGGAATATTTTTTTTTATCTTTTCAATATTTCAACACATTAATTGATTTTTAGGTAATTAATATCTATTCAAATAAGATGCATTTGTTAACAGGATTCATGTTAGATCCCAAAGAACAATTGAAATCTCTAGAAAAGTCTGGGCTGTTCATGGCTGCTCCAATTATACGTTTGTCATAAGGAGCATGTGTATCGTTCATTATTGGATACAAATCACGGAAAAATAATTTAGAAGCACACCATGTATTTGCAAAGGACAATCAAAACAGTTGATTTGAATTGTATGGTAACGTTGGAAAAGTTATCTCTGCAGCATGGTTTTTCTTCCAATTTTGATAAGCCAAATAGGCTAATGGAATCCCAATATTGTCAGCTGAATTCTCCAAAAATAGTAAAGTACCGTTAAGCTGAATAAAAATTATTAAATGAATAATTTTTGATAAAATAGTGAATAACACGTAAGATAATGGTAATAATTACCGTTTGGTTAGTCCCTTCTATTAAAAAACTTCCGTACTGATCAATCAAACAGGTTTTAGTAGTGTTAAATTTTTGATTAGATGTAAAACTCCATCCGTTTTCTATCGTCCTGTTATTGGTAAACATTCTATGAATGTTATAAATAGCATGACTTATTTCGTGACTTAAAAGGAATCCGATTATAGCATAATTAACGTAATGTGGACGATTTGGGTTAAAAATAATTTTTTCCATTACTAAAGGACCTAAAACTTATAATTTAGTTTAGTTAATTTAAACTGTTTACTTAAAGTATTATTTACTTAAAGTATGATGATCTAATGAGTAGGCAGCACTATTTGAAAATGAATTAAATATTCTTAATGTAGCAATTAAATCAACAGATTCTTCGGGCGTCGTTCTATGGCGTCGTTCCATAATTTATCAACACCAAAATTAGCAATACTTATTAAAAGATTTCCAATAAAATTATCCTGAGTTATAATAAGTTCTCGATAATACTCTATCAATTTTTGATCATCCATCAGTTCATCAGGATATCCAACAATTATTCTAAAAGAATTAATCCCTTTAATTAATTGATCTCTGGTTTTAGTATCTAACCATTCTGTTTTGTTGAAAATATCCAACAATGTATTTTTCAAATCCAAAGCAATCTGATGTACTCTGCTTCTGATTTTCTGGTCCATTGGATTATTGCGAAGGTAAATTGCATACACCAGATCTGGTAATTGCGTTTGAATATTATTAAAACAATTGTGACCTTGATGAATGTAACTTGGATCATTTATTTTTTTATACGTTAGTTCGAGTTTTGATAGATTGATGGAAGGAACGAATGGAGCCCAATACTCGACAGTTTTCTACATTGCATAATTAGCTTGCACTCTTTTCGGAGTTTCTTTCAGCAATTGTAGTAAATTTCTTAAATAATCAAGATTTTTTATCGTAACAATCGATTGATTAGTGAAATAAGTATGCGTGATGGTTGATCCGTTGAATAATTTAAGCCAATTTACGGTCGGCCATTCTTCAGTCATTTCCTTTACGGTCATGTCACGGTGATCAGAACTGTTATTTTCAATTATTAGATTTATCAGTTTTTATCAACTAATTTGTTTTTTGTATCAATAATAACTTGATTAGCTTTATCTAAAGCATCTTTGTCCAGTGGATAATAAATAATAATAATGATGTAAGTAAAAAGAGAGAAGAATATTTGGCATAGCAGTTTTAAGAGATGTATAACAATCAGAATTAGATTCTGTGATTGAAACATTTAAGGATTTGTAAAAATTATTTCGGATATCGAGTAGAGTTTTTGATCCAGTAATTGGAATTAATAATTCAATAGCTTTCCAAACTGCAAAATTAGCGAGCACTCTTTTAGGAGTCTTTTTTACTAGTGTTTCGAGGTTTGTTATGTAATCTGGGTTACTGATTAATATTATCAAATCGTTTGTGAGAGGGAATTGCCATTGGGGAAAATATTTCAATAATTTTGTCCAATTTATACTCGGCCATTATTAGGGTTGCTAGTATTTAATGATACATTGATATTTATGCTTGAAAAGATAAGTTCCATCTCAAAATCCACTGATTCTTTTAATTCTTCAGCCTGATGTTCGCTGGCTCCTAAAAATTTAGCGACTTCTGCTACATAGTTACGGTAAATATCAACCTGAGACCACAATTGGGAATTTTGTCCACTGCTATTGTAGAATATCATGTTAAATTCCAATTTTGGGGGTTTTATCTTTACAAAGAAATAAGAAATTATTAAATCATCAAATTATTCGAAAATAATTCGATTGTCTACATTTTTGTAAATACTTACATATTTTAACCAATAGTAGTTTTGGTATTTCATATCGAAATACATAAAAAAGGGAGATACTGAGACACCATTGTTAAGAATTTTTTGATTAAATTCATCCCACTTAAAATCAGTGTCTATCCACTCAGATCCTTTGAGAACAGGCCATCCACCGAATTTTTAATAAATCACTTCGTTTAATAAATAGTCTACTCTCTTCTTTTCGATACTTAAATTTGGCAAGATGTCATGTAGTTTTTCAAGTAATTAAACAGTTTGAAAGGAGACGGCCAATTAATTATTCCCCAGAATTGTATTTTGGATGGATAGACGTCGCAAATTCATCGAGTTCTGATTGTCAAATGACCGGTTGAAATAATCAAAGAAACTCGAGTCATAGTTACCACATGCAAACTCGTAAAAATTATCACATGGATCGACATTCGAGTTCATGTTTTTCAGAATCATTATAATTCTGTAATAAATAATAGTAATGTTGAGTAAAAAATATAAATAATAAAAGATGTAAATGTTCCTACCGTATTCCAAATTGTCTATTTTACAGTCATGAGTCGTACAATTGAAATTATTTTTTGCGATAGCGATTGGAAGAAATATACCAAGCCAAATAAACCATCTCTTCCTTTTGTTAAATTTTATTGATTATATACTTGTAAAAATATTAAAATTTTAATCTTTTTTTATTTATTATAAATATTTACATTTTTATAAAATTAATAACAGCTCGTCAAAAAAAAAAAAAAGTAGCTACTGTATTACACTAGGAACAAACAATAATGATTTTATTTTTAACGACGACATTATTATCACCAGAAACAGTTGATAATGCACTCGTCTCTAATGTCTTGATAAAAATGACTATATTTTTAGATTATATCAACCTAAAGCATGAAAGATATAAATTTTTAATGTTAGAATGATGATAACTTGAAAAAATAAAATATTAAAAAAATTGAAAGCATCGGCATCGGAGCGAGAATAAAACAATGGGAGTAAAAGATTAAAAGGAGGAGGACACTGTGAAGGATGAGAATGAGAATGAGGAAAAGGCGAAAAGGATAGATAGAGAAAGAGGGGAGTAAATTGAAGGTCCAATCCACTCACCGGTCGTCTGGTTGACAAATGTCCAGCGCATCCCTTGGGCATCCGCTCTTGGTGTCGACCATCATCATCCCTCGGCAGCTTCGAGTCTTCCAACCGTCTACTTAGCCCTTGCTCGCTCCCATACTCACATAACAGCCAGTCACCAGTCACCAGTCACCAGTCACCAATGTAATCCTGTGTGGAGGTATTCTAGCAACACCTATATGTCCACCACCACCACCACCACCACTATCACCACTCACCACTCTTCTGTTTCTTCTTATTCTCATCTCTTTTCTCTTTTCTCTTCACAACCATCACCAACTTCCAGGACCACCAGCTATTAAATTACCCAGTGACTGATGTCACTAACCTCTTTGCTACATTCTCCACCACCGAGTTCTTTATCTAAATTTATTTTTCATTCTCTCGATACCCATTTTTATCTATTCACTCTTTAACTTTACTTATACAGACAGATCTTTTTTTTTTTTTTTTTAATAAAACTTAAGAATTTTCGTAAAAATAAAATTAATTGTTTTGATTAATTCTATGAAAGGACTCGTCGCTCATTAATCAATCATATACGGCGGCATAGCGTACGAAGAACATCAATAGAATGGATTTTAATTATATAATATGAAACAATAATTAAGGTAATTGATAGTCTGATAATAAAGTGGAGGATTAATGACTGGAATGAAAGGCGTTGAAGAAATGTCACCCCGGCCGGAATAGAAATTAGTTTCCTCGGGAATAAAATCAGCGTGCTCTCCTCCAATGTGTTGTGTCAGACGAGGAGTTTATATTTGTGAATATATATATAAAGCGTATAATATTGAAGTGCATCTGTGGCCCTATAAAGGGTGCGTAGACCTAGAAAACAACCCCTGGAAACTAATTCTCATTCCGAAAGTTTATTGCGTGGCAATTTGCTTATTAATTTCCCGTTAGCCTAGGCTCCATATCTATTAATTAATATTTCTCGGTCGACAGATGCAGCCCACGTCCTATCACTTTTCACTCGATACATATATATTTACATACTCGTTTAATAAATTAAACACTCTCCCTTTCCCCTTATCCTTTTATGGTTTTATGTTTTTCCATTTAAAAATGCTTTCAGACTAAAGTTTCAGACTAAAGAGCGAATCGTATACAAAGCGACAATTGAATAAGACAAGACGAATTCCACGGAATAGAAATAGGAAGCTCTTGCTCTTGCTCTCACTCTGTATCTGCCAGGGTGTAACAATGTAGACCCGATGAGACACGAAGGCAGCCTATCTCTACAAGTTACTGCAGTAAAACTTTCAAAAGATGTAACTACTTGCACACTGAGACTTTCCAGTAAAAGCAAAACCAGAAGCAGAAGGAGAAACAGACTTTCCTGGTTAACTTGTGTGCTAGCTTCTCTTTTATTTACATAAATGGAAATACGCGTTATTCCTTGTGGATTCCTTATTCCCCAAGTTTATAACTTTAATTCAAACATTTAGCTTTAGAATATTTAATATTTTGTCGCATGTCGCATAATACTCCTAATTATGTTAATCAATAAATTAAATAATGAAAAAATTCAAGATATATAAAATCTAACTCTGAGTTAAAGTCTAATTATCTGATTCTAAAATAAATTTCCAAACTTGAGGACGATTTGAATTATTTATTGAGATTTAATTGTTAATTCTGCAAAACTTATTTTATAAAATAAGATATTAAATAATAAATGTAGATAAATTTATAATTAACTTGTGCCCATCAGAAATAAAAAAAAAAAATGGTCTATATTTATATAAAGCTTAAACCGGAGAAACTGGACCGTCGCGGGAATAATCAACATCTTTATTGTGATTTCTGCCAATAACTCTATTATGGTCGTTATTATTTATAATAATAATAATAATAATAATAATTATAATTATAAATATATCCGACGGGTTATAAATTATTACCGGTAGTTTAATATAGATGATAAGATATATATTAAATCCAGACGAGGTAATTTAGTCGGTATCAAAATAGTCAGGGGTATTGTCTGAGATCGGAATTCAATTAGCGTCTTGAAGCAGCAACCAAACACAGGATGTCTGAGTCAATAAAATTAATCACCACTGATATTCTATTTTATACAATATGTTTATAATTAATGAATTTTAAGTTTAAAGTTTTGGGGATAGCGTCGACGAAATCGTATAAATTGTAGAGGAACTCGGATGAGTGTAGAAGGAAAAACAGTTAAATAATCGGAAAAGCAATATATATTGATGTATGTATATGTATAATATACTAGGTATATACTAAATGTATGGATGGATGTCTGGAGTAGGGTATATACAATATGAGCAGAGTGTGGTCAATCGGATTTAGCGAACCCTCTGGCGTCTCAACGTCAAATATGTTATTGGATCCTTGTTTGATAAGTGAGGGTCCAAAGAGCCGAGTTATTAAAATCGAGCAAACATATCTTCGACGTTTGTCACGTTCTTGTAACAATAATAAAGATATATATCTGCATGAATTTTTTATTTCTTTATATGGATTTTCAATATACATATAATAAACTTGCTTTTTTATATAAATTTATATATTATTAATTTTATAATAAATTAAGATATTGAATATTAAATTTTGAATAAAATAAAAAAAGTATTAGCAGTGATCTACCTGCCAGGATGATTGACACGGTAAACATATAAAAGCAAGTTATAATAAGTTTATAATAAAAATGGGGTTTAATATTTTTGAATAAACAGAACACATCAGATCACAGCTCGGCTCAATCTGTCTGCTGCTTACAAATAAAATCCAGCTTGAAAACGAAAACGAAAACACAAACGAAACACACTGCTGGCATATAATTTCCCGATGCTTTCAGAATATTGGCGACTCATGAGAGAGAGCCGAGCCAATATAAATGCGATTTGGGCATTTGCTCTTTTTACAGCGGCAACTAATCGGATTTTAAGGAACAAAAAAATAAAAAGACGTCTGCAAACTGGAGCTTCTGGGAGTGAGCGAGTGAATAAGAGTACCAGATTATCACAATGCCGGAGCAGTGCATCGTCACCCAAAAGGGGTCGTTATCCCCCAACCCCTCCAACTCCCATATTATATAAATTGACACCTATACATATTCACATATGTGTATTGGTTACTGGTGATGGGGATTTAGTTGCTCAACATCTTCTAAATGTAAATGTAAAGTAAGTCGTATGTATTTATCATTGCTCTTATTGCTGTCTATGGGATATATATATATATAGGATGTATAGAATATATAGGATCTATGGGATCTATGGGTGATGCCTCAACACACACACACACACACATTATAATATATCCCTTATATCCTTAGTATACAGAGAGTGTGACGTTCATTTGGTTGACTACCAACACTCGACAATAACCCTCGGGTTGTCAGAGGCATTGTTACTGCTGTCAGATTAACCGCTTGTCACCCCGCTCCTGATCGCGGGCATTCCATATGTCCCTGATGTTTAAATGTTATATACATATATATTTAACGCTACCTAACCCAACTGTAAAATGGCTTTCTTATCCACTTATATTGTTAGTCACTCAATACTGCTCGCATTAGGCGTCATCAGGAGCTTTCATCCGTTTTATTAAAGATCCAGGGATCTACAGAGAGAGCTTCAAGGACAAAATATAACCGAGGAAAAAGATTTCACACATCAACAGGTGCGAAAAATGTCCGGCTTTTCCGGCTGTCCAGTCTTAACGTCTTACACAGGTTTCTACTCCGCGAACTCTATTATTCAGAGGCTGACATTTTTTTAGGGTCAGGCCACTTTTTTTTTTGTTGACTTGTGTCTCTAATTTATGGATACTTTTGGTAACAAACTCAAAAAGTCACTCTTTTGCATTCAAATAGAGCTTTTATATAAAATATAATTAAATTAAACACGTACAAATAATTTATAAAT